AAAATACTTTTTTGCCCCACTGTATATGTCTTTGATGCTGGCCAATATTCCACTCCATACATTGCTACTGGTCTGGTGATCATTTAGACTTTGGATATCAGGTATAGAGAAATTTTCTTATTGCATAGAACGCCAGTAACTTGGTGCCATTTCATCCAGACAGCGTTTACTTGTATTTGTCATTTGGTAGCCTGCCACACTTAGAATCATGTATTACCCCAGGTATTTGAACCGGTCATTTTATTTAACTTGATACTATCAATCTTGAGTGTACCATTGGCCTGGTAACCATATTCAGGGTATTAAGTCTTTTTAATAGCTTAATTACAAAGTCATTAAGCTTTATTACAAAATCATTAAGATGCATCTTCCATTCTTATATTAGTTGTTTGAGGTCACTTTGTGTTTTGCTAGCGATCATGACATCATCACATATAATAAGTCCATGAGTGTAATCATCACATATAATAAGTCCATTGGTGGCTGACTAAATACTTTTTTGCCCCACTGTAGTAGCAGAGGTGGTCTGTAGTTTGAGCAGTCATGTACGTTCCTTTTGTCTTTCCAGATTGGGATTGTTATATAGGTCTGCCAGATTGATGGTGATTCATTTTCTTCTAAATGTTGTTGAACAGTGCTGTAAGCTATTCTCCTTGTGCTCCTAGTAGCTTCCAGGTTTCAGTTGGGATGTCATCCAGGCTAGTCACTTTGTTGTTCCTCCTCTTGCAGATGGCAGTTGAGGCTTCTTCAATAGTGATGGCAGGTAGCAAACCAGAAATAGGGTCAGTTTAGCCAAAAGTGGGTGAGGGAACTGTTTAATGCAGGTTGTCTCAAAATAGTTCCTACATCGACAGTGATGCCTTTTGGCTGTTGTAGCAACCAGCTGTTCTTATCTTTGATACTGATGACATGTCCTAAATTTTGTATGGAACATTAGCATGCTTTAGCAAAGTACTTGACTTTCTTTGTGCCATCAGGCTTGTCTAATTGGTTATATAGATCTTGGTAATATACAGACATTGCAGCAGTCATTTTTTGCTTAGCAACAGATTTTAGCTCCTGATATTGCCTGGGGTTATCTGCATTTCTTGTCCTCAGCCAGATTTTGTAGGCATTTCTTTTTGCCTTAATGGCTTGATGTTCTAGTCCTGCCTTAGGCGCAAAGCCAGCTGGATGACCTTTGGCCAGTCACTCTTGCTCAGCCCTAGGAAGAAGGCCACAGCAAACCACTTCTGAAATCTTGCCAAGAAAACTCCAGGGACTTGTCCAGGCAGTTGCCAGGAGTCAACACTGTATTCAAAGGCCTACATACACACCCCTCTCCCACCATTGTTCTCTGAAATTGGTAATTGAAAGTTTGTTGCCTCTAAGCCAGAGGTAAACTTGTGTCTTGCAAAACCAAAAACCCTAGGTAGACATGTCCTCCATACATTTATCAATCCCCTTTTAAAGCCAGCCCAATTAGTGGTTATCAGCAAGTCTTGCGGTAATGAATTCCATTTGTTAATTATGCACTATATTGAAGAAGTGCTTCCTTTTGTTTTTTTGTTTGTTTTTTTAAATCTCCTTCAGTGATCTTCACTGGATGGTCTTAGGTGTAGCATTTTGAGAAAGGGAGAAAAAAAAATTTCTACACTTTCTCCATACCGTGCATGATTTTATTCTCCCAATCATGTCTCTGCTCATCTGTTTTCTTTTCAGAGCTTAAAAGTTCCAAACATTCCAACCTTTTACCCTAAGCAAAATGTTTGAACCCCATGATCATTTGATTGCCCTTTGATATAAGTGTATGTATTTAAATTTTTGCAAGGGTGCATTCCAATATCACTTGTTTTTCATCTATTCTGAACCTTCTTTCTGAGAAGCCTACGTCAGTTAATTAAGAAAGCTGAATAAAAATTCTTTTGGCTGAGTTCACTTATTGTGCTGAACCACAATATGATCAGCATGATTTTGCTCAGTACAGTGTGTGGACTTTGGTTTTATGTTTTGTAAAGTATGGTTAGTTATCATTATAAATCAAGTGGCTATGGCTTCTTCAACAGATCATCTTTAACGAAAACCTGGCTTAGTACAAAGTGGTTTTTTTCTTAATTTTATGTTGCTCTAATCAGTACTGCAGTTACTTAAGATTTATTCTTCATTTCCTGTTTCCTTGGAAGAAGAAACCACTGGATCACTAATTCTCTACCTATTTGTTATTTTCTTTGGTTTCTCAGATTTTCCAGATGTTCCTCCACCTCTGACACCAGGTCCTCCAAAGAAATCCAGATTCAAAAGTGCCCGTGTTCATTTTGATGAGGATCCAGGGGAGCAGATGGATCATAATGACCAACATATCACGGCAGTCTTAAGCAAAATCATTGTATGTCATATTTGTAGGAACCATTATAACAAGAAATGTGACTGATGACTGCTAAAACTGAGCTGCATGCTCTAAAATAAGTAAAATGAAACTATATCTGCCAGAGCAATGCAAACATTACATTCCTTCAAAATCTGAATTTTGAAAGTTATATAAGATATGTATATTTGGTCATACTTTCTCATTTTTGTTTAATTTATACTTCTGCTATCTGTAAATATAAGCTGGGATGGTAGAAAGAGTTTTTCAGGATCTGGCCACTGAAACTATAGAAAGTGGGCCTAGTACTGAATCAGATGATTGGTCTCTTGCTAGCATTTACAGTGACATACAGTATCACTAGCATGTCTTTTCAAGCTTTT